CAGCAGTCCCTCCTGCGACTCGGGAACGCCGCTCCGGGAGTCACCCCGCACAGGGTCAACCCCCCTCATTTGGACTCCATAGTCACGAACTTGCAGCGTCGCTAAAATTATCCGTGACCCCCAAGTCGATGCTCCCGGCGCCTTTGAGGTCACCCGTGAGCACGTGCAGACGGCAGAAATGCTGAGTCACCTGAGGTGCGAGCCGCGGGGGAGGCAGAACTAGGAGCCGCCCCGCCTCCCCCAGCTCAAGCTGTCAGCAGGGCCCTTAGCGTGGGCTGTTTAGTCCTACGATTGTCACACTTCTGTGCTTTTTTGTTGGTGGTGATTCCACTGTTTAAAACGGCCCCAAGCGCTGTCCAGTGTCCCCAAGCGCAGGACGGCGGTGACGGGTCTCACGGGGGAAACACGTGAACGAGCTTCGTGCGGGCGAGGGACGGTGCTGCTGGCTGAGTTCAGCGTTAATGAATCAACAATATCTAGTCAGTGAGGCGTCTTTAGCCCCGACCGGGGTTGCTCGGTGGTTAGAGCATCGGCCTGCACGCCGAAGGGTTTGCAAGTTCAGTTCCCAGCCAAGGGCAGGTACCTGGGCTGCAGGTTCGATCCTGGGCCCCAGCTGGGCGTGTGCGGGAGGCAACCGATCAGTGTGTGTCTATCACATCAATGTTTCTCTCTCTCCCCCCCCTTTCCTCCTTCCACTCTCTCTAAAAATCAATGGAAAATTTTAAAAAAATAAAAATAAGGGGTCTTTAAACAGAAACGCATGAGCGACTGGTTGACAAACATGTGCAGAGGCTCGTGGGAACCGCACCCCGAGTTCCCCCTCCCTAGGAGCCCTGGCTCAGGATTCGCTGATTGGGGCTCATAGCGCGTTACGGCGCAGAGCTGCCGGGAGCAGCGAGGCTGGGCCGTGCGCAGGGGGTGCGTTATACCTGGAAGCCTCCCGCCCTGCGGGGGCCACACGCCCCTAGGCTGCGGGCTGTGGCGCCCACGACCGCCTGTCAGCGTCGCTCTGAGACGGGAATCAGCCTCAGGGGCCCCCGAGACCCACTCGGTTAAGTCTCTGCCTTTCCCCTGCCCCCTGACTCCTGACCCCTTCCCACAGTGAGGAAACTGCAGGGTGGGGTCCCCAGGAACAGTTTAGTGAGGGGTGCAGGACTCCGGCAAGCAGAGGGAGAGAAGCCGCCTGCTGAATGCTTGTCCCCGAGGCTGCTGCTCTGATTTGTCTGTTACCGGAACCCTGCCTGTTGGTTCATTTTCCTTCCGTCTCTGGCAAGGCCAGTTGTCAACATCAGTAATTTCAGCAAAAGCCAGCTCCCCTTGCTGACACTCGCGGTGTCTCCGGCCCTAAAGGTTCTGCAGGGTTTTGTCACGGTGTTTGCAGTGCTGGGCGTGGGGAAGTCAGGACCCCAGGCCCATTTCACAGGGGGAAAAAGAGAGCCGATGGACAGGGCTACTGCCCATCAGCTGGAGCTGGTAATTGGGGGCCTGCGTTCCAGGCCGAAGGGCGGGTCACTTCTCTTCTGCTGGTCTCATTTTTTCACCCCTCATTCTTAACGGGGCGCAGCCCTCCCAGTTCCCGTGTCTCCAGGCCCACCGCTGAGACTGCAGAGGACTTGAAAAGGCGTCGCCAGGCCTCCCGCTCTATCCCCCCGAACCAGTTCTCTCCTTTCAGGTCCAAAGACCTGTTCTGATGGGGCCTTGGCCATAAACACATTTCAGACTCTAACTCGCACACCCTTTACGGGAGCTGTGGCTGTGAAAACTCCACCCATTCTTCAAGGCCTCTTCAAAATCCCACCTCTTCCAGGAAGTCCACCCTGACTGCCTTTCCCAGAAAGGGTGTCTCCTCTTTTGAACTCTACCTGCTGTTGGAGCAACACTCCCTCAGCACACACCCTGTGTTTGTCACGGGGGGGGGCATCTCCCCGACACGGGGAGCTGGCCCAACTTTTAGGTGCAACGTTACTTATTGCATTCAACTCGCGTAGGCTGTCCAGTTTTCCAGAACCCTTTAGGGATGACTTATAGAGACAGGCGGATTTACACGTAAACATACACACCGACGCGGCCGGGCAGTAAAGTAGAAACGGGCAGGCTGACCGTGGGGGTAAGGCTCTAACCACGGAACCGGAGGTCCGGGTCTTGATGATGAAGAGCTGATAAGGGAGAGGAGGTGGGCCCCAGGTCCTGACCCAGAGAAAGCCAGGGACTTTGTGAAGCCTGTACCGACCTTATGGGACGGCCAGGCCTGGAACCCCAACTCCCGCAGTCTGGGCCTCTACCCTCCCGCCTCCCACGCAGCCCAAAGAGAAGGCCCGCCCCATGCTCACCCCCGGGGGACCCAGGCCTCCCGGTGCAGGCTCACCCCCCGGGGGACCCAGGGTCTGCGCCTGCCGTCAGAGCAGAGCATGCACTGTCCCTGTCATGTGGCAAGTCACTGCCTACAAGGATAACAGCCCTGCCTAACTCGCCGTGTTCCCCTCAGCGAAGGGAGAGGGCGGGAACCTTCCAGGCAGGGCAGTGTCCTGACAGAAGGATAATTTCACAGCCAGGGCCCTAGGAGTCAGGCCAGCCGGGTCCCGGGGCGGGGGGAACCGGGGAGGGCCTCCGACTCCATCCAGGGTGCAGGCCCAGGGCGGGGGACCGGGGACGAATGAAGCACTGTCCTGCGGGAGCTCCCAGTCCGGCGGGGAGATAAGCCAGGCACCCAAGTCTCTAAAAACAAGGAGCTCGGGTGCTGGTAAGAGGAACACCGCACTGGGACTTGCGGGAGTCCCCGCGGAGGCCAGCCTCCTGGGGGGCTGGGGCTGTGGGGGACGTTCAGAGAAGGGGAGCGGTGCCCACCTTCCCCCCGGAAATGGGGTGTCTGTCTTCTCAGCCGCAGCGACACTTGGTGGGGGTGGGGAGCGAGCTGGGAGCGGACCAGGAAAGATGCTGGACGAGGTCTTGAGGGATCCCGGGTGGGCAGAGGCCGCCGGCCTGAGACGGGACCGCCCAGCGCGCGCTTCAGAGGGTCGGGCAAACGGGGTGCAGGACCAGGGGCCCAGGACTTCTCTGCAGGGACAGCGAGTCCTTACAAGGGGACAGAGCTGGAGAACTTGCCTCCAAATGACGTTCGTGTGGCTCGAGCACTGTGCTTACTCAGAATGTCCCTGGGGGGCTTCCTGGGGGGCATGAGGGCACCCATGGGAGGGGGCACCCAAGTTTCCCTCTCCCCGGTCACCCCTGAGCCCTGCC